GTCAGTAAATGTAAGCATAAACTATATATAAGCAAGATGTATTTTAGTCTATAAAATTGCAAAAAATAATTGTAGCTTTTTGACTACTGAAATTCAGTGCATTTGATGAAATCATGGTAGATTCCTTGGTAATATCTAGGGGTTGGAATCTAAAGAAATCAAATATTGCTGCTGCAATTTCTGCTGTGAGTTTATTCACTGAAAATATTAATAGATTCTTTGCCTTATTACTTCCTAATAAGCTAGCAATGTACTTGTGAGGTGCCAGAACATAAGCACGAGGTAAATATAGGCTTTTTATTCTCTAAACTAGTCAGGAACCTTGGCCCTTGTAAAGGAAACAGAATCCTGCAAGTTTTGGTAGACGCTTGAAAATAATTTATTTTAAACAGTAAATACTAATTAAATGGTGACTACCTGAGGGCTTTCACTTAATTCACTTAATTTCACTTAACACAACTGTCCCAACATAGATATTTCTATTGAATTGTAGCTATGATTTTGTTAGTCTTTCATAAAGGAATCATTTAAAACAATCTTTGATTGATATGCTTGTGTAAGGCAATGCATTTAATCAGGCTTAAAATATTTGGAAGCAATAGTTCCTCACCCTTCTGTTTCTGTAATAGGCTACCCCAGGGTTACAGTGTTTAGATCACCAGTTAACAGGGAAAAAAGAGGATTTTGTCCTCAATGTACCATTCAAAGAAATATCTCTGCAGGAATGGCAAGAAAAAGGTGACTTCTTCAAGTATACGTTAATAAGCAAGAAGGGGAGAATTTGGAGGTACTCTTTTGTTTCTACTGCCGAAGTGCTGTGTACATAACAAAAATAATTAAGCACAAATTGTTTCACTTTGACTAGTCTAACTGAAAAAGGACTTCAGCAACAGCCATTGCAAATGGTTATTTGAATCTGTATTGAGAAGAGGATTTCTTTTTTTTTATGTTTAATTCACAACTGCTTGATTCTGTTTTTAATGCTTTGGTAGTTTTAAGAAAGCATGAGGGCTCTGGAAACTACTCCCGATCTTTTTCACAATATTTCCAAGGAGGAGTATGCTCATAAGTGATAAAAAAATAGCTCCTGGATGTATTTGCGATCCTAAACCACTGCAATACAAATCAACAGGACTGACAGAATGACAAGGTGAGGGAAACCCATGCAGGGATAGAGCTGACCAAAGCTCTAAGCAAGCTGAATGTCCTCCAGGATGCTGTAATAATCAATCTGTATGAACACAGAAAACTCCTATATCTTATTGTAAGGAAAGTAACTTACCTGATACAATGAGCTTTGTACCAGTGCTGAAAACTTGGTAGTAATATCCGGACACGATGGATAAAGTCTTTACAATATCAGATCTGTTATCTTTATATCACAGAATCATGGCTAACGTTGGCAGGACCCTCTGAAGACCCCCTTCTCCAGCCCTCACCAATGGCAGGGTGCCCAGGCCCATGTCCAGGTGGCTTCTGGAGATCTCCAAGGAGGAGATCCCACAGCCTCTGGGCAGCCTGTGCCAGGGCTCTGCCACCCGCACAGCACAAAAGTGCTGCTTGGTGTTCAGAGGGAACCTACAGTGTTCCAGTTTTGCCCATGGACTCTTGTCCTGACACTGGGTGCCACTGGAAAAAAGCCTGACTTCATCTTTTTCATACCCTCCCTTCAGGAATTTATAGATATTGTTGAGATGACCCTGAACCTCCTCTTCATCGGACTGAATAGGCACAGCTCTCAGAGCCTCTCCTCCAATTCCTTGATCATCTTCCTGGCCCTGTGTTGGACTCCCTCAAATACACCAATGTCCCTCTTGTATTGTGGAGCTCAGAACTGGACAAATACACAGGTGGTCTCCTCAGTGCTGAGCAGAGAGGAAGGATCCCCTCCCTTGACCTGCTGGCAATGCTATGCCAAATGCAGCCCAACATACTGTCAGCATTCTTTGTGACAAGGGCACATTTAATTTATGAGTAAATATTATTTTGTTAAGATAAACAGATTTGATTTAATCAATGTTTAGACCCTAGAACAGCAAAAATAAGCAGTAAGCTAAAGTAAGTAACTAACTAAATATATGGTGTGAAGATTTTGAGGAAATGTATATTGTTAAATGGGCAGGGTTCATCTCAACTAATTTTAGTCTTCCAAAACTTTAGATGGATGTAGCAGACTAAGTAATTCACCCCTTATCTTCTACTTGGAGAAAGCTGCAACTGCAGAATCATAGAATCATAGAATCCTAGGATGGCTTGGGGTTGGAAGGGACCTCAAGGATGATGAATCTCCAACCCCCCTGCCACATGCAGGGCCACCAACCTCCCCGTTTAATACCAGACCAGGCTGCCCAACCTGGCCTTAAACTGCTCCCTTAAAGCACCAAAAAATCAGCCCTAGAATTAGTGAACATTATGGTGAGAGCTGAGCAGCACAAAACCCCTGAACAGAATTCATGTTATTAGAACATGAAGCAAAAACTCAAATAAACATCAGAACTTCCATTACCAAGACACCCCATTTTCAGATGAGCAAAAGTAGATAGTTTTCATCCCAGGTAATTAGTCAAGCCAAACCACAGGCAAGCATCAAATCATCTGAAGTTTACTTGAGGCAATAAAATTTTGATAAAGTATGTAAATACTTTGGGAGGGGAAAGTTAGTGTCTCTACAGTTCAGCACTCTTAATAATAACAACTGATAATATGTAATAAATGATAGTAAGAGGTTTCTGCAAAAACTAGGGAGAGAGTGTAGCCTTTCAGCTATGCAGGTCTTAAGACAGTCCTGGGCATTCTCCCATTATTTGGCAGAGTCAGACTTAGACAAAAATAAGCGCCTTGCTCTTCTTTGCTCTTCCAAGATTTTGAGTAGCTCAAAATTGACATAGTCTTTTGGAATGAATTAGACATGTCACAGAAGTGGAAAATGCACCATTAAGGATTAAAAATATATATATATTTTATTTCTCTGAACATTATCTTCGCCACATTTAATTTCATCTTTTAGAAGAAAAAAAGGGGTTAATTATGTTTTGCACTGGGATAATTGCCTCATCTTTCCCATTTCATATATAAATACAAAACAATGGCATTGTGTTCTGCATCAGAAAATACTGTTTGCTGGTAAAATCCTGCAAAGCATTCTGTAGGATTAAAACCAGTGGGAGATAAAGAACCAGAGCACATCACGTAGCCAATATCTAACAGTATTGAAATGCATTTCAGACGCATTCAGTAAGTTTTATTTCACACTTACCTGAAACAATGAGTTTAGTTCCACTTCCAAATATTTTCTCATCACCATAGCACAGTGTGATAATGCTTAGCAATATCTTCTGCACTTCATTTTTCTTTCACAAGTTACAGAAAGTATCTCTGATTTAGAGGTTGGTGATAATTTGGCCAGCGTAATAACTGAATTTTTAGTATGGACTGGAGTGCAATATATTAGAAATACTATAATTGGGGTTTGTTTGTTTGTTTTTCATGGAGAGTAAAATGTCCCCATTTTTAAATGCAGCATTTTCTGAGAAGAAAGTTGTGTCATGCTTGCTTACTATGCTTTAGCCCTTTTAGTGCTGGGATTTTTGTAACAAAATCTGCTGCTTCTAGTCCACTGCATTTTCTCTAAAGTAACTTTTATCTGTTATTTTAAGAGGAAATGTGGTTACATTATCATTCCCAAAGGAAAATAAAATTAATTACTAGATATTTGTGGATTTAGATAGGGTATCTTGCACAATATTACTGTGTGAAAATGCCTTAGATTAAGCTTCATCATACTCTTACTTCAAAGCCAATATTTTACATGCAAAGACCATATTCTAAACTAAGCAGACACCTAGTACGTGTTTAACTAAGTTTGTGGCTGTTCTGAGTGCTTACACCGTTCTCTCTGGCAAAAATACCTGCCTATATACAGACAAAATCTAACTGCAAACTGCAGAAAACTTCAACTTTCTTCTGCTTTTTGCAGTTTGATTTGTTTATACTCACCTTGGTAACCTCATGTATTTTCTGAGCAAGATACTGCTGTATGGTTTATACTGACAATAGCATTCATACTATAGACTGCACAGTTTTTGAGGAATTACTGAATGCAAAGGGAAGCTGTTTTACTTTAGGTACAGCCACGACATTTATTCAATTCCTGGCAATTTTTCTTCCCAATTAATTTAGGCTGAATCACATCTATAAACAAGCAAGTTTTGACATTTCTCACTAGTTGAACTGCGAGCTGTTCTCCAAGTTTTCTCACAATTCATTATTCTTTCCTGGAACAGCACAAGGAATGTATCCACCACAACATTTACAATTTTACCTCTCCTCATTTTTCCCCCCCCAATCTCAATAAATATTCAGTAATCTTTCCTGTGATCACTCTATCCAGCTTGATATTCATGCCCATCAACACCTAACTGCAACCACATTCACAGATTAGAGACAAAATATGACCTATCAGGCAGAAATTTTTTTTCCTAAACACTTACATTAATAATTATAATCTAACAACACAAATAACGGTGTAAAAATCAGATTGGTATCAATGGTACTTACTGGAGACAATCAGCTTGGTTCCTGTGCCAAAGTACTTGATCCACACATTACACACTGTGTTTTAGCTTTGTAAAAACCTGAAGTGCTCTCATAACGTGCAGTCACTGAAAACAAAAAGCCTTTTTTCACTATTCAAGCCCTGGGAGACTCCTGGAGGGATGGGCTGGCACTGGCTTGTTGGAGGATGTCAGGAATTTCAGATTTGCACACAGTGTTCAGCACATATATAATTCCCTCTAGATCAAATCTTTGTCTAAAAAGATTCTAAATTGGTCAGGTAACCCATCAATTTAATGCCGAATAATTAAGTGAAGGTATCCTCTTCAATTTTACACGCACAAGTCAGCCCATAGGATTATACATCTTAAGGAAACACATATACTCAGGAGATCATACTGCTCATCCTCAAAGGCATACTCCACCTCTCATCCAGAATTAAGTACCATCAACTAGTATTAGGACACAATCCAGCACTAGGAGCCACTCTGCAGGCCATTGTGAAGGTGTCCATGTGCTGCATCTGGCATTTTCTGTCCCAGCATGTCTGTTACCTGTCTGCCTCCTGAACTCGATCCTGACCCTGAAATAACCACTCACAGACATCTTTTCCTGTATCAGCAGAAGGGTGATGAAGGCTTTTCCTTTGCATGCTTGTTCCTTTCAGGACAGCCCAAGATTACATCTGAGAAAACCCTGGGACTGTCAACCAGCCTGCATGCTTAGCTTGGCATTTCAAAGAAAAAGTCTGAACACTTCTGGGACCTTGTGTGCCCTAATGACTGCAAACCAATGTCAGGAAAGTACGGTTTGTGGCTACGGGAGGAAACCAGACTGCGGATGGTTTAAGCAGTTTAGACCAACTTTCAGTTTAAGCAGACGTAAGAGAAACAGTTGTCTACTCTAAATTCTTCTGGGCACAACTGTTGAACAGGCTGCCCAGTGAAA